TTCGCATTTCACTTTTTAAGAAAATAAAAAGTGAGATGGGAAAAACAGAGAAAAGTCCTCATTAAAAACGTTATTGGTAAGGAAGATTTAAGTCGTAATACTGATACTGTGTCCATACAAAATTTGCAAAATAGTGATAATTTTTATGTATAAAAATGTATTAGATCATCCTCAAGGATTAAACTTTTAACATATAGGAAATTTTGTCATGAATTTTTCCAATTAAAATATACTCTCACTAAATAAGTGGGAGCTATGCACTATCCTTGGAATTGCACAGGCCATGCCTCCCATCAAGTGGAGGCAGTGACGATGAGAGTGAAAGATTTTGGTACCAAAATAGAAATAAATATCCCAATATAGAGACACACACCCCCAGGCTGCTCACCGTCAATCTTTGCTTACTGCTCAAAAAGCAAGAGAGAAAATATATATTATTTCGTGCAGGGTTTTTTTCCAAATCTGAAAGCAGTTAATATCAGCGTTTGGCCTTGGGCGAGCCTAGCTGTTCCCTCTGGAACCTAATGCTTCCTTGCCCATAATTCTTTTGTCGCCACTATCCTTCCTCTTCCTACTACTTTCAAATTCAAAACCATCCTCCTCAGATTAATTTTCTCGCTACAGCTCGCTGGCTTTCCTCCAAAAGCAAACGCTCAGATTACCAAAAGAGAGAGAGAGAGAGAGAGAGAGAGAGATGAAGATCCAATGTGATGTGTGCGAGAAAATGGAAGCTTCAGTTTTCTGTGCTGCAGATGAAGCTGCTCTCTGCCATGGATGTGATTCCAGTATCCACCATGCCAACAAGCTCGCAGGCAAACATATGCGCTTCTCTCTTCACCACCCCACCTCTAAAGATTCCGCTCTCTGTGATATCTGCCAAGTACTTCTTCTTCTTCCTCCTCCTCTCTCTCTCCCTCTCTCTCTTCTTCAATCCAAATCTAACAGAGAAATCTGATCTTTAGAGCTCTTTTTCTGTATTTGTTGCAGGAGAAGCGAGCGTATCTATTTTGCAAAGAAGACAGAGCAATACTATGCAGAGAATGTGACCTTAACATCCACAGAGCCAATGAACACACCCAGAAACACAATAGATTTCTTCTCACAGGCGTGAAGCTTTCTGATTCTTCTTCCGGGGATCCGTCTTCATCGTCCTGCAATGCCGTCACCACTGAGAATGAAAGAGTCGATAATGGAAGTCGTGAGGCTAGAAGATCGTGTCGGAATTCTGACACGAACAGACCCAGATGGGATTGCAACGAGAATTTCAGTTCTTCTAATTCAGCTGTGAATTCAGATAATACTATGGTTAGTGACACAGAAGCAGTTTCGACGAGCAGTTTTTCTGAGTATTTGATTGAGACGATACCTGGGTTTTGCTTTGAAGACCTAATCGATGCTTCGTTTCCACCTCCCTGTAAGGTTTGCTGTACTCTCTGCTCCTACAGAATGAGATAGCATTTAAGGGTTTGTTTGGTAAATTCAGGGAAGATGAAGGTGCAAACGAGTCCCCACACAGATAGATGAGTTGTTTTTTAAAAAATTACTTAGGCGAAATCCATAATTTTAAAAATAATTTTATAATATACGAAGTAAATATATGAAAGAGTTTATTTTAATTTATTAAAAAAATATCTTTAAAAATATTTTTTTAAACTCAACACTCTCAATGTACAAATAAGACTTCATCTTTAGACCCGGAATATATCAGTTGCTCTAGTTAGTTATCACATTTTTTCTTCATTTTCTTTGTTAAAAAAAAGATATTCTAAAAAGATTAGCACAGTCCATTAAAATTATCTCAGCAACAACTTAAAGGAGTATTTGGGGGGAAAAAAACTGTTTCTCTTGGTACACTAAAACATCATGAAGGTAGCTTTGTAATGGAAGTTGCAAAAGTACATTTTTAATAATTTTTTCCCACCACATTTTTAATAGTTTTCTAAACATAGCCTTAATTGACAAATAATAAAGGATAAAGATAGGATTAGAATTTTAATTTTTTAATTTTTTTGACTCACCCTTTTTTGCACACTACTGTATCATCCAATCCACCCTCTTCCCTTGATTAAGTTAATATGGTTATAACTTGTAAGAAATTAAGAAAACAAAGCAATGCCTGGTTTTATTTTATTTTCCATTTCATTCATTTTTATTTTTATTTTATTTATAAATTAAATGTATAAAGAGTAAGATGATATGTATCTTTCTTGCCATTCCGTTTATTATCTTATTTTATTTCGATAACATTTGATATGGTGTTCTTGCTGCAGAATGAGGGTAAGCATGATGCCACATTCGATGATGAATATGAAGATGTTGAAGTCAGAATGTGTTTATATCCAAAACTAAACGCAGCAAAAGAAATCTGGAAATAGAAGCAAAATGGCTTCCCCTAATCTGTCAACCGTTTCCCTCAATCTCCACTAATACCGTGTCCTCTGTTCATGTGTTTGTTTATAGTTTTTTTTTCCTTTCATTTTTATTTTTATCTTTTTATTTTTCCAGTATCTTTTCTTTCTTCTTTTTGTTTTTTTCCCCTTTTCCTCGTGATATTTTTCTGGGCCCTCGATAGTTTTTTCTTTCTTTCTTTCTTTGAGGGAATTATGCAAGTGGGCATAATTCTCTCTTCGGCTCATTTATTGCCAATGCCCCTCTCCTCCAAAATACTAGTGATACCCATTAATTATTCCTACCGTACTTTTGAGTTATGCACATAAAAAAATTTTTTAAAAAAAATGAATTTTAGTAATTAGATGTAATTGTATTACATATTTTACTAAAATATTTTTATTTATCATAGAAAAATAATTATATCAAATTTTTTATATATATTTTATTAAGTCCTTCAATAATAATATTTTAAAAATACAAGTCATGTCCACGGGGAACTTGATACAACATATATAAAGAATTTGATTTAAGTATTGTTATTTATCATAATATCTTAATAAGTGCACTTTCATTTGCTAGGACCAACTCAGAAGAAATCTGTATAAATCAATAATTTGTTTTAAATAAGCAAAAAAGATGTTTGAAGAAAACCTATATGGATAAAGGGTGAACATGAAATTTATATTTAATTATTTCATGGATTTAATATTTTACTATTAATAAATATGAATGTGGAATTGTTTGATAAAAATAAATCTCAAATTAGCCAGCAAACATATTCATTGTCAAATTTTTGGTCAGGCTCTTTTTCTTGGTACGCTATGCTCGCTGTTATCTTTTCAGGATGAGATAATTCAGTTTCCCTAATTTTGTTTGAGTCAATATAATCTCTTCACATTTTGAAATAATACATTTAAGCCTTCTTTTGTTATTTATTGAAGGTTTTGCCATTGTTAAAAAGTACTCCTCCGGTCTTTATTATAAGACCCAATTTGACTTTTTATTTGGTCCTAATTATAAGACCCAATCCATTTTGTCTCTTATATTTATGTATTTTTTTAAGATAATCCTTCTAATAATGATAATTTTAGCCAATATACTTAATTAGCAAGGATATTTTAGAAATGACAATACTTATTTATTACAAATAACCAACTTAACTTACTTCCTTAATCTCCTCAAATAAGTCAATTGGGTCTTATAATTAGGACCGGAGAAGTATATTAAAATAATTTAAATATCACCAATGCTGATTTTAAAAAAACAATATTTAGATAATCCAAGTCAATTGATCCACCTTGGTGATTGTGCGGGGTACAATAACAGCTAACAATTGTGCGTGGTTGAATCAACAAAGTGTTTGAAATTGATGGTAATTTGTACAGGTGAACAAAGGTATTTGGGTGATTGTGATTTGTCATGGACTGAAAAAGGGATCACCAATATGTGAGGGGAGGGCCTTTGAGAAGGTGGAGAGAAGTACAAAGCTTCGTTCCCAAATGATGAAAGCTCAAGGGAGTAGGATTCTTCAACTACTTGTAGACTTTAGAGACAAACTGACAGATAACCAACCTGGTGAGGGGGACCACCAACACAGCCTATCCTCTTGCTTTACGTTGTTTCTCTTGAAAAAGCATTAATCCAATATTGGGACACTTAGGTCCCGTTAGAAATTGTAATTAAAAAAATCACCAAAAAAATATTGACAAGAATAATTATTTATTACATAGAATTAGATAAATTTATAAAAATAAGATTAAAAAATACCACTTTTCTTGTGATATTTCTCAATCTCATATATGAGTTTGTTTAATTTTATATAACAAACAATCTCTCGTATTAAATTCTTTTTTAATAATTTTTTCAATTTAAATCTCAATTCCCGTCCCTCATTTGCAAGTCATACCAAACAAGACCTAAACCCATGGTCCCATTTTAATGTCCATTACTTCCGTGAAGCAAGGCATCAAGCTTGCGTCTATATGCCCTGTAAGCTTCAAATAATCAAATTATATTTAACAAACTAGCAATTAAAATTAGTTTAAAATAATAAATAAGTTTAAAATGTATTTTTTAAAAAAAATTAGCTTTTATTTATTAAAAGAGTAAATGAGAGAAACAATAAATAAAAATAATAATAAAAGAAAATATATAAAAATAATATTAATGAGAGTACTAAATAGAATCAACTAAAAACAAAATATGAAAAATAATAATAATAATAAAAGCTCAAACAAACTTAAAAATGAAGCTTATACTTTAAACTAAACTCCTTTTCAAAAGTCAAGCTTATATATAAAACTCGATGAAGTACACATTAATAAAAAGACTTAATCTCCCTTATTTAGTGCCTCATTTAGTATTCAACACTATTTCAAATAAAATTGTAATAGAAGAATATTTATACTCAAAAAAGATAAAAAACAGACTTGATTGCCCATCCCCACGACTCTAACAAGAAAATTAGCAACTCCGTCTCTCTCTCTAGCAGTAGGATGCTGATATATTACCAGTTAAAACGAAGGAAATTGCAAATATATGAAGAAAAAAAGTTCATATAATAAGGGCAGAATATGGGCTCTTACACACAGAAAACGACACAAGGAAGATGAAAGACAAAATTCTGCTGTATTAAGAAATTACTTTACGGGTATGTATTACAGCAGTGTCATTGAAGCCCTTTCTTTTTACATTTTTATATTCTTTTATTTCCACCCGCCTCTCCCCACTATCTATACAGTTTCCCATGGGTAGACTAAAAGGTAATAAGATATTGAAATACCTTTTGAACGGTTTTACACACAGCGAGATTAATGAAAGAATCACACCTGCAATTGCAAAGGCTATATAATTTTTTTTTTTCAGTGAGAGAACCCTGCAAAAAAATAAAGACCCCAAATTTTATTACTTAAAATATGGTTCACAGCGAAAGTATCACCGAATATTTTGCAATACCTTTTGACAGGATCAAGAAGTAAAAGCAAAGAGTCTATCATCAATATTTGTCCGGCATATTGGGCACTCAGAACAAGCAAGTGAGCACGATTCACACACTGCAAATGAACACAATTATGAGATAATTTTATGATGAAAGTCAAAAAGAAAAATGGCCAAAAACGCAAAGGATGATGATTTATAGTAATCAGATAAAGGCTTACAACAAAAGTGCCGGCATGGGAGAAGAATTGCTGCTGTTGGCGATTCAAAGCATACTTTACAAACATGGGAACTGGTGGCGTCTCCATTCCCAAAGTAGTTTTCGTTTTCTTTCATCTCTTGCATGCGTGCCTGAGACCATTCAGTACAGACCAAAAACAATATCTTAATATTATAACACTAAACGTATGAATCTGAACATACACATCATACCATGAAACAAATGTACGGATAATGCAGCAGCATTGTTACCTTAAGACGAACCACCAGGGATTCATCCTTAGGAACATCTTCTGATTTCAGCACATCCGAAACCTGCTCTCGGTGGGCACTATTACTTCCAATATCGTTATTTTTTGGACCATCAATTATGTTTCCTGTGCCGTCGCCATTTTGTTGATCAATGTTTGATTCTGGGACGGAACCTCCTTCTTTCTTTAACCTTGCAACAAGAACCCACATATTTGCCAAATCATTTTCCAAGGCCGCTTCTCTTTTCTTTGCCTCTTCAGCTTTTTTTCTGTACTCCTCTTCCAAAAATTCTTTCTCAGCTAATGCAGCCTCAAGAGCCGCCTCTCGTTGTTTCCTAGCCTGTAGTTCCATCTTCATATCTTCTGCTTCAAGACTCCGTGCTTCAAAGTCATCTAAAACAGCTGAAAATTCATTAGCACGGCTGGAAGTCCTACCCTTCCTTCCAGATCTAGCATCATTATACTTGCGGTTAAGGCCATTAGAAGTTTGCAAACTCGAATTCCGAGCGTTAGCCAGGTCTTGAGCAGCAATCAATTCCTTCTCCAGTTTCGCGTTCTGCAATGAAAGTTTTGTTACTTCACCAGCCAAATTCTTTAATTCCACTGCAGCAGCAGAGGCCAGTTCTTTTGCATAAGAAGCTTCTTCAGCCAGCTTCTGATTCTGCACAAGCAACCCACTATTCTCCTCAGAGAGTTGAACTTGCTCTAGCTTTAGTTTTTCATTTTCAATCTCCTGAAAATGGGAGGGCAAAAGTATAAATTGGTTAGGCGATTCAACAAAGCACGAACTTTAAACTGGACGACAAAAATAACCATATCGTGTTACAAAATAACAATCGAGTATCTGCAAATATTATTTAATACTGTATCCTGAAAGAGGTTTGACGTAAGTTTGAAAGAGCAATATTGACAACATGAGGGGAAGCAATTAATATTCACAGACAGGGACAACAAAATTATTTTAAAAAAAATATAAAACAAAGCAACGGTAGTGCACAATGCTTAAGGGAACATGATCGATAGAGATAGGTTACTACAACCAGACTTGAGTTACCTGAAACTGGATTTTCTTTTTCATCTCATCAATGTCCTCCCCAGCTACCGAATGTTCCGAAGATACTAACCAACTGCCATTGGAAACTGCTTCCAGTTGCAGCTCCAACTGCTTCACTTTTTCTTGTAATTCTTTGTTCTCCGAACACTATCAGCAAAATGCAAAGATATCAACGTTGGCATGATAGGTGGGCCTTTATCAGCATCTTCAACACAAATAACATGAGACGCAAAAAGTTGGAAGTTAAAGAAAATACCAAGCAGCAAAAATGAGTAAAAGGCAAATTATACCTTATTATCGAGTTGTTCCTGGAGGACACGATTGTCTGCTGATTTTATCTATAAATATTCAAAAGTTACCACCACTGACAAATTAAGTCAACTAAAATTATTAACCAACTCATTCTTTCTACCATAGAACAAGTCTTTCATATGAAATGCTATGGCTAAAAAACCAGCAGAGAAATTTCACTTTTGGCCTAATTACATGACTCAAAATGCTAGTATAGTCAAAATAGTAATCACCTCCAGCTCGAAGGCCTTTTCATTATACTGAGTCATTAATCTTGTAACCGTCTGTCACCATAAAAAAACCCAGAAAGAGAAGATGACGAAAAATGAGCTTTATATTAAAACATAAAAACTTCTAACCAGTAAGAATATTAGATAATTTTGCTATCAGCATAGCTACCTGCTGCATCTCAACTAATGATGTGTTAGCTATTGAAGCTTCACCGCTCTCAATAATTCTTTGCTCTAAAGCCCTCATTTGTTTGTTTTTCTCTTGGATCTCATGTTCCAAGTTCTGAATCTGCAATGAAATAAGCAAGTCTATATATTTAACGGACTGCGAAGAAGATGAGTGCTTTAATTAACAGCGTACATCATTTCCGTTAGAATAGAGGAGCCCGACACTTGTTTTAATATCAGCTTAAGAATTAGACACTGAAGATCTCAACAACAATGCAAAGCCAATCAAAGTAAAGGAATATCAAATCCTGGCTAGCAGCAGTCAGGGTGTTTGGACCCTAAGAGAATAGAAATCCATGGACATCTTGTCTATAATGGATAGAAACGAAACTCACCAAAATATTAGTAATCTCTAATTGTTTCTATGGCCAGATTAAGGATATCCCCAAGTAATTTTTAGGCCTTGTTATCACCTTCTAATGTATTTGAGTCCAGCGCACTAGGAAGACAAGGTAGAAATACCTGAGTTTTGCAGCTTTCAGGATCATTCGCAGACTGCTCCATCAAGCGCTTCAGAGTACTGGTACTAAAAGCAATATCTCCAGCAAGCATCTTGACTTGTTCGACAAGAAGATCCATTTGATCAGATATTGCCATCCCTCCCTACGATTCAATAAGAATTCAACATATAAATTTCAGTAGAGTATCCAGTAAGCAACCATTTAAAAGAACAAAGCTGAAGCAAAATAAAATTGTGCCCAGGCAGCACTTCAATCAGAAAACTCCCATAATATGGACTGGAATCCTGACGACCAAAAATGGTTAAAAAAGGCAAGAGGGTGAATTGCCAACCTTTCTATCAGTGGAAATTTCCTCGAAAGTGAAAAATGGGCAAATAAACATGTCACAAGTCGAAGAAAAACACATTATCAGTCCTAACATGTATTAGTTTTATCATCCCATAGCTAACTCTGCCAATCAGAACTATCAAATTCTCCTCTAATGCTGATTGTCCTCACCCAAATGCCTCCACAAAAGCCATTCTTCATATTACTCTTCCACAGGTTCACCAGCTTTATGGTGTGGTTGGATGGATTGCAGGGGATGGAACAAGGAACAAAATGATCGATAGGAGTTAAACCATTTTTAGGAGTTTTTTTGAAAGATTTAAAGAAAAGGGAAAAAAAAGGAATTCCAAGATCCTTCTTTCCCATCCAACGCCCAAAACCTTTTGTCCTTCCAAATTTAGAGTCTTGGAAAGGAACGAAATGGACAAAATGCACTATTACAATTATATCCTCTTTAGCCAGAAACCCAACAGAGCCACGTTCTAGTCATCAGGATAGTGTAGGAAAAATATAAACCGTCCCATTCCCTCATTAAATGCCCCAACAATGGAATGTCACATGACTTGCCATTCCACTCCTTACTTTCTAATTCCTTTATTTGTTATTCCATTCTCTCGTAAGATCCCAGACATTGGCTCAGATATTTGCCCATCTCCTTCAGTACAAAACTTCAACCCAGTATTTCCCCAAAACATCCAATAAGCTGTTCTCTCTGTATAGAGGCTAGAGTCACAGTCTTGTAGGCAAACTCTGACAAATACCCATGGATCATAGAAACTAGAAATTTCAACAATAAAGCCACAGCACATGCAATTTTGGTTGATAAAATATAACAAATATATGAAATCAAACATGATTATACCGTTGGAAGCTTTGTTCCATTGATCAGCTCACCAGCTTGTGTTGATTCAGTGATTGTACTGCTTGTTGGGGAGAGTTCTTCATTCCATTTACTTAACGAGCTTCTATGTCTTGCATCATTAGACAGATCCGATGATATCAAAGAAGCATCTTTTTTATTCTCACTATCAGTCAACAGGGAATCATGACGTATGGCATCATATTTCTAGAAGTACAAGAATAAACAGATATCAGATACTATTCCAAAAACTCTAGAAAAGGATAACCACACTATGAGAAAGTTCATTCAGATATCAAACCTTTTGAATTATCAATACTTGAAACCAAACATACGAGAGATTAAAGAATAAGTGCTGACTCAATAAGAGTTGAAACAAAATCACCACCTTAGCTTTGAATGACCCCAGCATTGAGAATAAATAGATGATGATGATGATCCAACAATTACTAAGATTTAGAATAAGAAAATCTAAGCCTGCTTCTATTGTCATCAAATTTTTAAAAGTTAAAAGCACTTCAGTCTTGTGCATGAAAATTTTAATACACGGAATATAATCCACAATAATTATTTGAAGGAGGAGCTCACATCCTCCTCACCAACTGAGTGAATTCGTTGGTGGCTGGGAGTATCAGTTAGAATTCCCGGAATTGTATTCTTTGAAGAAACAAGAATGAGCTTTGTGAGCCTTTGGATCCTACTCATAAGTGCAACCTTGGCATCCTCCTCTTCCTCCAATCTTGATTGCATTTTCACTTGACCTTCTTCCAACTACTCATAAAAAGGCAGTATGAGGAGCAGATCTAGTTATACAATTACAACAAGCCTTAATAACAATCAGAAAATGAAATAAGATTTAGGAGTAGCTTAAAACCTTCTGCTTTAAACTCATTATCTCCTCATGACTGACACCAGCCAACATTCCCTTCTTCAGTTGATCAAGTTCCTCTTTCAGGCTTGAAATTTCTCTTTGGTACTTCTTAATAAGAGATTTTTCATCAATAATCTGTTGAAGAAAGAGTTAGAGAGAATCAGTAGCCTAAGTGACTAATTAAGGGCATGGAATTCTACATTTGACCCATCTTTTCACAGCTAACCTTATTGCGCGAAGCATATATTTCAACTCGTTTTGCCCTACTAGCAAACTTCAACGTATTGTGAGTTTCCTCCATATTACTGGATGCTGGAGTGACTGTGCAGATAAGCTGTTGTCGTGTCACGTCAAACATTAATATAGTACTCATTTAAGCAGTATAATAAATAGCGTTCTGAAATGTCCATAGGGAAAAAGCAAAAGAATTAAAAAAATAGAAAAAGAAAAAAGAACATATTTAACAGCCCAACACTTGCACACAAAATAAAGGACAGCAGTAAACAGTAAATCAATCACTTGAACCTATGAAATAGTGCCAAGACGAATTCAAGCTCACCGAAACATGGCCATGCCCACTAAGCGAAGACTGGAGGAGGCGGGTAAGCTTTGAATCTCGATATGGAACATGAGATGCCTTCCCCTCACTCAGTTTTCCAATAACCTTCAAATTGAAGTTACAAGATCAAGGCATACGCAACAATGATGAGAACGACGACAACAATGATTAGCGATCATTAATTAATATATAAATATTATGAAATGGGTTAAGATATAAATAAGTAAGCAGTTAATGTTTTTCGACCGCAAAGAGGGAGTGCTCTTTGACAATTGATGAAGTAAGATAGGTAAATTTTGCATGAATAATCAACAGAATTAGATATAACTATACAACCATTTTTGGTTGCCCGCATCACCATATTATTAGTAACAACTCACAAATACATCTATTTTATCATTCATAAAAGGTTCAGCTTCACCAAGATAGAAATTGCATACTATCTGATTGATAATGTGAGAACGTCATAATTATTTAAAAAAAAAAAATCCTCTGTAACCAAAGATGATGAAACTGTACACCTACAGTTCCAAGTGTCAAAAGACTTTTGTTGATATAAGATCCTTCTTTTCTTCTGAGTCCTGTTGTTTCAGCTTTTGAACTCTCAGATCCAGCCAGATCAATCAAGTTCTGATAGAGAAACACAAGCAAAGAAACGAGATCAATCACTAAAAAGCATTGTGTGCGCGTATTATATTGTCGAATTGGCAAACATTTTCAACATACAAGCTGAGAGAAGATCACTCCATCATAATCTTCACCATGAGTACTGCTTTCAATCATCTGCAGATATACTGTTTTAAGTAAGTGTAGGTCTCATAATGTCCAGAGAAAGCGAAAATACAATAATTAAGCAACTATTAAATGTTTGTGATGAAGAATCAGTTCCTAGTAAGCATAGCAAGTTGCACTTGCATATAAATGCATAGTTATCCAAAAATCGAAAAACTTTTGGATGGGCTTTGCATGATGCACATTATTTCTTGAGGGAAAAGGAAGAAAATGCGGAAAGGAGGTGTTAAAGCGAGATTTTAACCAAGAATGTTTACCAGTGTAAAAATCGTGTGACTTCGGCTACTCAGAAGATTAAAATTGTTTGATCCAACATGACGATGCTCTGCATTGGGGCAAAAAAAAAAAAAAACTCAGGAATTGCTTTTTATACCAACAATCAGTTTTGATAGTACATAGTGGGGGGGGGGGTGTTGGTGGCGGCACTGAAGGAGGATTAAATAACATTGGCGTCAACAGAAACACCTTCTCCAGCTGCGATAAAGGAAAGCGCATGTCCAGGGGACAAAACAACTTCTTCTTTTATACCCTCGACATAAGTTCCCTGAAACACACGGCAACAAGAATGGTCAACCAACGTAGATTCATGCAGGCAAAAATTGTGTAAACTATAAAATAAAATGAGAATCAAACGACAAAATAAATGGTCTACAGGTTCTGAATCAGCAATCACGTCAGTTTTTTTAACAATTTTAATGTTCATCCACACAGATTCCGTAAACAAATATAAACAGCTCTGTATACATGCATGGAATTGGTATTTCAGAGGCAAAAATAGAGAACAGGACAATCATGGATGAAATTAGGGGAGGAAAAAAGTAATAATATTAATAAGATTTAAATTTAAATTGAGAGAATATAGGTACAGAACCTGTGCATCTTCTCTCACTCGCAAATTTTGGCCGGTTGGATCAAGCAAGTCATTAATCACCTGACAACAATTACCAATAAGAAATGGCAGCATATGTCAAAAAGAAATTTGATTAAAAGATTCACAGAACCTAACATGTTATCATACGACAGTGTTGCAAGTAATAAAGATCGAGTCTAGTGTCCCTTCATAAAGGTATAAAAACTCGTTAAAAAAATTTATGCAGCACAAAGGTGATGGTGAAAGTGTGTGACACAATTACCTCGTTGTAGATTTCAAGATATGACACTCGAAGTAAAAACTCTCTTCCTGGAGTCTGCCACCAAAACACAATGATGGTGATAGATAGCGAGCAATTACAACACGGATTTAATAAATAGCTAGTAAAGTATATAAACTACGGCTTTAGGAAACATTTAAAAGGCCTCATGAGATTGGGGAAAGCAAAAATGAACAGTAACAAGCAGCAGCACCATATCAAATTTAAAAATCAATATCCAAGAGTCAAGTAACAGCTATCAAGAGCCTCTACAGCTTAACAAGAAGGAAAACATATTCTTCTTAAATATGTAATAACAATTAAGTGAAGAATCGACAGAGACACTCATGCAAAACAAAACCAGAGCTACTAACGAGTGGTAGCGAGTTGCAAAATGAGCATCGATAGGAGGGAATTGGCATATTTTTCTGACTTCATCTTAAACTCATCCGAATTTATGAGCTGACTTAATAGTTCAACAACCACAATAGAAAGCATAATATAATCATAACAATGACACAATGCTGGACATGTACTTGTAAGATAAGTAGCACATAACAATAACTTCGCAAGAATTCTCACGTCTTGGATAATGCTGAAAACATCTTTAATAGCCAGCGGTATGATACCAGGACAATTTTGGTCCCCCTGCACACATCAGAGTTGAAAAGAAAATGAGAATCATCCCGACTGGAAAGGTCACTTATCTGCAGAAAAATCAACTAATTTCAAGCAATTTATAATTGAAGTATTGGGTCTTCAAAATTGGAGCAAAAAATATGAGATAATTTCTGCGCCAATGGCTGATATCGCATCTCCAAAAATTCCATTCAAAAGAGCAGTACAAGTCATGCGCAGACTTATCATATTGCAGCTGGATGCCATTGAGAATGGCAACAATAACTTTCTTGAAGACCAAGGCACCAAGCCATAATAATAGCATCTTACTTTGCATAGTGGGCATTGGCACATTTGTAATTAACAGCTCCACTCCACACAAGTCACGCAACTATTTCTTAGGGTAGGTCAAAAGATTTCAATTTACTAAAAAACTAGGCTTCTGAGAACTTTTTTATTACCAACAATTCCTGACAGAACCCAATACTGACGCTTATACTTGTATTATATGCCGTCATGTGGCGTATGATTTGCGTTTAGCATGGAAATCAGAGGCGGGAAATACAACTTATTGACTAATAGCCTATACTGATTAATAAGATACTATCCAATAGCATAATTCTGTGTGATCAAAATGACAAACCTTGAGCAGCAATAGAATGAAAAGGCAAGAAAATAAAGTTTAGTTTCCAGCGAAAAAAGTCTCAGGCGGAAAAGTAAAAAGTGCATCTGCTAAGACATAACACTTACATGCATAGTATGTGTCTTTCCACTACTCGTCACACCGTAAGCAAACACAGTCCCTGCAATATTTAGAATAAGTTATCTTTTGAAGTCAACTAGCTCCGCTAGCCACTCTAACTCTAACCAGTTCAATCTAGTTTTTCAACCAGAAACATCTCTTGAGGATGAAATCGCTTCCATCAAACTATTACAATAAATAGGTATCAAAAGATACTTTCCTCACACGTCTAATTGTGTAATTTAGAGCTGAATTAAACAGTCCATACCGTTGATGCCTTCCATGGCAGCCTTCACTACGGGTTTAGCCGCTACGTCATACACTTCGTCTGAAGTTGAATGGGGTCCAAAAACTCTGTCTGCCACAAGCAAGCATTTATAATTTCTAAATTCTAAAATAGTAACCATATTTAATCAAACTTATGATCAATATGCCCCTAGAAACCTAACTGCAATCTAGTAATTCATCATAAAAACACTAAATAGAGAATCAAGAAAAAGGAAAGGGAAAGTAAAACGTAGATGATACCAAATGCATAAGCAGTGGCTGGATTATATTCATTTCTGACAATCTTTTCACCATCCGCATACCATGCAATCTCATCGCCTTTCTGATACTCCCTCTCACTGCAATAAAATATACCGAATCGGACTACTCAATCAAATTTAGCTCAGACAACACAATGCACAAAATAAACAGTTCAATTTCCCCCAATGTCATAGCCGATAGATCTGATCTAACAACCCCGGATCTAAGCGTTACCTCAATGGCCTAAATCGAATAGTCACCGATATGCTATCCCGGGTCCGCCGTACATCCAGGGGGTCGGCAATCAACTCTTCCGACCCAAATTCTACAGGGGAACGACTGCCATAACCGGGAGGACCGCAATGCAATAACTCACCACGACCAAGACTTGAAGTCATGGATCGGCCACTGAGTCCACCACCGGAGTTGAAAAACGACGACGCAGTAGAAGAGCACGAGCGAGGCATCAGCCTTCCGCTCATGAACGTAGAAGATGAAGTGGAGGGTTTCCGATGAGAAAACGGCGAGCTGCTTCTTGCTCTTGAGGACGAGGCCATTGAGTTCACTCACTGAGTTGGTGAGTCAATTGAAACCACCAAAACAAGCACTAGGGAAAAGAGTGTGTAAGAGCTCTCACATGGCAATGAAACGAAAGCAAAGAACATTTGGTTCCCTTCGCTTTTTTTGGTCCATCTTCCTCTTTTTGAGGCTCTAATGATAATGATATCATTCCTCAAAGGAAGGCACAAAGGAGACAGAGGGAGAGATTGTTTCTTCTTCTTTAAGGCTAAGTTGCAGCAGAAGAGAGAGAAGGTGAGAGTGAGAGAGAAGGTGTGTGTTGTGTGTGAGTAAGGGAGAAGATGAATGAACTGTGAGGGGCACAGCGAGCGGAGAACGGAGGAGAAAGTGGTTTGCTGTTCGCCTGAGTTTAAATTCTTCGATGAGAAATTAAAAATTGGATTTAAATTTTAGGTGATGACGTGGCGGCGCGATAGAGGTTGAGTGGGATTTAAACTAAAGGAGTGCTGGAAGCACGCGCCACTCGGCAGTAATTTAACCAATGAAAGGCCCTGAAAAATAAACCCAAAAATTTAGCGGGAATGACGAGCTGATCTTTAATTTTAGGGCAGGAAAAAATTGAGCGCGTATAATTAATAAGATTAATTTATTAATTATTTATGGTTAAATATATTTAAATGCTAAGTGAAAGTAATTTATCTAACAAAATATAAATGCGGAGGTATACTCCTCTTGTCCTGTCTATGAGACAAAGAGATCATGCCTTTTTTTCTCCTATTTATAAAGTAGTGAAAGAAATTTTTTATATTGATGTATAATTTTACTCTTCATTTATTATTGTGTTGAATTTATTTACATGAGATATAATATATATTAAATAAGAATAAAGTTAAAAAGTTGTTTAATTTTAAATGAAATTTAATAAAATTTAAAGTTTTTCTTGATGTATATGAAACATGTTGAAAGCAGTTTATAAATATGATTAGAGGAGTTATATTTGATCCTTTAATTTTATACTTCCTCCTATTCGAATTATAAGATAAACTTTATCGAGAAGTTAGTTAAAATCATATTAAAATAATAAATATGTAAGACATATTTTGTTTTCAAATATATTCTCTTTTTTTTGAGAAAGTTTTCAAATATATTCTTATTAATGAAAAGAATAGGTAAAATATGTAATAAATGAATTAAAGAGAAAAGATAATATATGATCGTAAAATTAGAAAAAATACATTAAATATTTAGATAAAAATAAATGTTATCTTGTTTTTAAAAATAAAAAAAAACCAACCCTCTCTAACTAAGTTTAGCTTATATTTTGAATTAGAGGGGTATAAGTTTTTAGTTTGGTAGTCAAATTTGAAATTTAACTCTAGAATTGCAATCTCAAGTCAATTTTTTTAATAACAAACTAAGATTAAAGTTAATAGGTTAACATTTAATAATATTTTATTACTAATCAATATTTTAATATCATCATATTTTCAAATTTTAGAGTTAAAATAACTAAAAATATATTTTTTAAATTAAAAAATCAAATTAAAATTTTATATAAAATTAAAAGATTAAAAATATGTTTTAGCCGAGTATAAACGGAAGCAATACTATTAACTTTTCAACACTAAAAATGATTGATATTTTCTTTTTTCCTCGGTGATAAAATGATTGATATTTTCGGTAATAACAGTGATTGTTCCTCACATATTGGACAAACCCATTTGAAAGGCAAAACGTCGCAGAAGAAAACAAATTACAATTTTGGAACTTTTTCATCTTGTGATCCATTCTTATAAACGTGTCATAAATTTAATATTTGTTTGCAATGATAAAATATACACATATCCATCTAAAAACACTTTAAAATAAAATTCTTTTCATATATTTATTTTATATATTATAAAATTATTTTTAAAATTATGATTTGATTCTTATCTAAAAATATCACTGTAGACACAATGGGCCGTCATGTGCTTAGGTTATATAGCTGAAGGGCGTTAAGTCGTCAATATCACCTTTTTCATATATGCATGTGATTGCTCTTTGGTGGTTTAGTAATTAAGGTAAGAATATGACTTCTCAAGTCAAGACATGATGCTCTATCGGTCAGGAGGGGAAAAAAAAAAACAACGTGATATTCTATAATTGTTATATAAAAGATATTCAATTGTGCATATGCTAAAAATATTTTTAAATTGAAAAGTTCTGCAAAAATAGCCGTAAAATAAAATTTGAAGAAACAAAAATAAAATGAAATAATTTAATAGTAAAAGTGCTGTTCAATATTTTTATTTTTGTTGTTTTATTTTGTTAATTTTTAACTTCATGCTATGCTATACGCTGGACGGCTCATGAGAGCAAAAAGAAGAAACCGAGTTTTCTTTTCACTTTGTAAACTTTTCAATATAACGGCACATAAAAATATTTTTATATATGATGTAAAAAATATATTTATTCTTCCAAAAGTGTGTAATACAAGCGTGGGGTCTTTGTTGCGTGTGGAAAAAATTGAAGTCCAAGCTCAAAACAGGAACAGCAGTGTTATGGTAAGTTGATGGAGACTTAAACAAGACATAATAAATTGATAAAAATGTATTTTTAGTTTTTCAATTTTATACTATGATTCTTATTAAAAAAGCTAGTTGACTATTCAATTTTATACCACCTCTGATTCTTACTATAAGAGTTAATTGACTAGTTTGAATATATTAAAAAATTAACTAAATTAGTTATTCGTAATGCATACGTAGTGTGCATATTATCTGTGAAGGTTTCCTTTCACTTTTTTTGTTGTTGTGTGAGATGCGGCTCAAATTAACCTAGCTATTTCTAATTAAAATGACACCACCATGATAAAACATTCAATCATTGATTCTAATTTGTTGAGGAACACCTGGGGCAAAGGCTCTGGTTTATAACAAAAAGTGATTGCACCAAATGCAAATGATGAAGTACCGCTCCTAGTTAATCGTGCAGCTTGTTATAGAATTTATTCTTCCTTATCCTTAATATAGGACCTAATTATTAAGCTGATCTTAATCTCAAATATAAGATTTATTTCTTATATTTATCAATTTTTATTGAATTATCTCTATTAATACTTACTCAATCATAATCAAGCAGGAGAGACAAGGAGGATATTGAGGAAAAATGATTATGGTATTTTAGAAAAAAATATGTCATATTCCTTGTAATTAATTAATTTATCTAAATTTTTAAATTTAATCAAATTATTTAAATAGATCTTATATTAAAAATCAGATAAGTACCTGTTATCCTAGTTATGAGAAATAAATAAGCTAAGTAAGACCTTTATACATTTGATAGATAGGATTTGGTAAATGAGTCGTACTACATCCAATCCTTGATTAAGAGCTAAATAATTAATTTGAGGAGATTAAAAAAGTTAGTTGAGTTGGTTAATTATAATAAATATGTGTTGATTTTTCTAAATTACTTTCTTTAATTAGATGCCTTGACACTGTCTTGTGAAAATTCCTTACAATCAATCGGGATATTTCAGAGAGAAAAAAAATTTGGAAGGCAAAATAGATTGAAGTCTTATCTTTAGTACTAAATTTAACCAACTAATTAGCTCTTACAAGGACCAGAGGCAGTATTATTCATATAAGGTTTATTAAAAAGCAGGGAGGGACTAAATTTAGATCTTTCATCTCCTGAACAAAGCCCTCTTAGCAAAGCAAGTATGGAGAATTATTAGCAGCAAAGAGCACTCTACTGTGTGCCAAGCATTGAAATCAAAATACTCTATTATGTTCTTAATATAATATCAAGTTTAGGAGGTTGAATTTTATTTTAAATACTACTTCCGATTCTTAATATAAGACCCTGTTTGACTTTTATTTTTGTCATAAATATAAAACCTCAATCCATTTTGTCTCTCACATTCATACATTTTTTTTTCTCAAAGTAACCCTTCTAACAATGATAGTTACAGTCAATACACTTGACTAGCAAGGATATTTTAGGAAAGACAACATCTATTTAAAACAAATAACTAGCTTAACTTACTTCCTTAATCTCCTCAAATTAATCAATTGACTCTTGTAATTAGGACCGGAGGTAGTACAAGACTTTAATTTATTTTATTTTTTATATTTATAATTTATTTCTCAAATTAATTTATCTAATTTATAAACTGGTATATAATTTAATATCACATATAAGTATTTTAAGAAAGTCAGATTACATTTATTGTAATTAATTATTTTATTAATTTACTTAATCTATTTGAATTAATTAAATAATTTTTATACTAAAGACCAGAACCAGGATCGCTTTCAAGACAAAAGGGAACTATTAGAAAACACTCCAATTCCTCATTGATTATGAGAAGAATCCTCAAACCCAGCTAATTCAGTTATTATCACTAACCTTGGCTGGCAAGTGAGGTTATTACAGTCCATCACCGCATCTACATCAAAGCATTAGCCATCATGCTCGGGGCCTGAGCAAACGGGCGAGGTGGTCCCCAGGCTGAGAGAATGCGACCCTCACGATCTTCCGTTTCCTCAGTCCTCACTCCTCACAAACCGGGCGTACCAGACGACAAGCTAGTGCTACCTCCTTTTTAAAATTTTTGTTTTTCTCTTTGACAATATCTAAAACATAAAAAAAATTAGTAACTCATAAATCATGAATAACGTAGCTCATTTTCTCTTCGTACAGCGTACATAACTTTCATCTAATCCTTTTTAAAATGTCATTACGTTGAATATTAAATATAAAGTGGAAAAAATTATCGGCCGAAGAAACAATACTCCTTAGTCCTTACGTTCCCCCTTTTGAAACTCTCGATTTAGAACCAAAACAATGACATGTGTTGATTCATATATATCTATATATATACTACATCCGGTCCTTAATATAAAACCCTGTTTGACTTTTATTTTGGTCCTAAATATAAGACCCCAATCCACTTTGCCTCTCATATTTACTCAATTTTTTTTAAGATAGTCATTCTAATAATTATAGTTCTAGTTAGTACACTAAATTAGTAAAAATATTTTAGGAAAGGCAACACCTATTGAGGACAAATAACTAACTCAACTTACTTCATTAATCTCCTTAAATTAGTCAACTGGCTCTTATAATTAGGACTGGAGGTAGTATATTACTCCTCCGGTCCTTAATATAAGACCCATTCAAATAATTTGATTAGATTAAGGAAGTTAGGTAAGTTAGTTAATTATAAAAAAAGTTACACATTTTTCCTAAAACACCATAATCATCTTTTATAATACCTCCTCTCCCTCTTCTACTTGATTATACTTGAGAGAGTATT